GTGAGTGGTACGCTCTGGAACATGAAGGAAAGTTTGAAGCCTTTCCTCACCCACTTGGACAAGCGGTAAAGCCACACACCATGGGTCTGCATTAGTAGGGAACAGCTATTTTTAAGTGAAATGTCTTGGCTATTTCAAGGTTTGGACTTTTATTTTATTTATTTATTTAATCTAAGAGGAAGTTGTACTTTCTCATGACTCACATCTTGCAAAATGGTGTCTCATGCATTTTTAATGTTGAAATCATCTTGACTTCACAGCAGGTCAAAAAAATGTCTAAGAGCAAATCAGCTCTTTATTTTATCATTCAAGTAAAAAAAGCTAACATATTGGAGTCACAGAATTTCTACAGCTGAGTCTGAATGTTAGTATTTTTCCAAAAAAATTTTGACACAGCACCCTCTGTTTAAAAATATGTGTGTAGGCTGGGTGCAGTGGTTCACATCTACAATCCCAGCACTTTGTGAGGCCGAGGCAGGAGGATTGCTTGAGCCCAGGAGCTCAAGACCAGCTTGGGCAACACAGCAAGACCTTGAAAAACTACAACAATTAGCCAGATATGGTGGCATGCGCCTGTAGTGCTGGCTACTGGGGAGGCTGAGGTGGGAAAATTGCCTGAACCCAGGAGGTCGAGACTGTGGTGAACCTGCACTCTGGCCTGGGCAACAGAGTGAAACCCCCCCACTCAAAGAAAAGAAAAACTATATATCTCCTAAAACGTGTATCTGAAAGGCTTTTTATTTTATTTGGTTATTAACATGTGGGACACAAGTCAGGACTTGCCACACAAGCAGGCCGCATGCAGGTGAAGTTTGGGCCTCCAACTGTCTGGAAGACTTGAAACCATGATCACACGGCGCACCTCAGAGTGCATCTGCAAGGGGCTCACCACAGACAGAAACGCACAGGGCCACTGAAGGGCTGTGAAGCTTGCAGGTGCCGTGTCGCCGACCACGTCCTCATCCAACACCTCCAAGTCTCCAGCTGGAACCAGCTCTCCTCTTTGGGGAAGGGCACAAGCTGGCTTCCGGGACTGTTCCTTAGACTGTAGCAATCTACATTATTCATACTCGGTATGTAAAAGATCACTCAGAGTTCAGTCTCACAGCTCCAAAAGTAAAAATGTAAAACAACACCAAGGAGAAAGCATAAGTGAGATCCACTGAAGCTCAGTGTTTAGGAAGATGCCATAACCTGGCCTGAGTGGCTGGGTACATGGTGCCTGAAGTCTTCCAGGTTGGTTGGCAGGCATTTAAACAGTCTCTGCTCTCCCTGGGACTGCCAACGTCTCCAAAGCGGAGGGTGACATTCTAACGACCAGTAGGTGGGGCACTTGGAGACGGCAGCCACACGAGGCTAAGACCAGGGGAACTGGGGGAGGGAGTTTGTTCTCTGCCGGCACAAGGTCAAGGAATCTATCCGCAGCAAGGAGAAGGGAGTGGCTGTTGCGGGAAGGAAGGCAGTCACCAACACCTGGAAGAAACTCAGACCGCTTCAGGTGGCTGAGATACATAGAGGAAACCTACAGGCTGAGTGTCCCTTATCCGAAAGCCTTGGGACCAGAAATGTTTTGGGTTTTCCATTTTTTCCGATTTTGAAATATTTGCATATGTATAATGAGATTGGGAATAGGACCCAAGTCTAAACACAAAATTCACTTATGTTTCATATATACCTTATACACACAGGCTGAAGAACTTTAGTCAATGCTTCCCATGATTTAATGCGGAAGACAAAGTTTAACTACATTTAGTCTGCGACCCTTCACATAAGTGTGGAATTTTCCACGTGGCACCATGGTGCTCATAAAGTTTCAGATTTGGGACTATTTCAGATTTCAGATTTGGGATGGCTCAGTCTCTACTCATATTCATAAGTGACCTGTCAAAAATACCTGCTATTTCTTAGGTTTAAATTTCTTTCTGCAAATGCCGTTGTGAAATTTATAAATTAAATTCTCTATATATCTTGCACATGCCACTAGGTTAACTTATGAAATTTAGTATTTAGTTTTAAAGCTAGTCAGTTGCAAAAACAAGTATGAATATTGATAGGTTATTATCCAAAGGATAAAAAATATCTCATATAATCCCTTCAAACTAAAAGAAAGCCTTGTGCCACTGGGTGAGAAAAAGCAGTCAAATTGGAAACTTCCATAAAAATATGTCTGGAGTGATTGAGCTCACTGCCAAAGTATGGAAGAAAAAGGGCCAGCAAAAAAAGAGTTAATGCGAGCCTTACAAGGAGCGAGAGGAAAAGGCCAGCAATAAAAGGGTTAATGTGAGCCTTATAAGAAGGCTGTGAGGTCCAGAGAGCCAGAGAGCTCTAGGGAAGTCTATAAAGCCCGGGGCTGTGCCAAGAGACTGCAGACTGCGCCAGCACAGACAAGGACAGACAGACAGACAGACACTTCCTCAGGGAACCCTGTCACAGGACTCCCAGCGGGCGGGCCAGTCTTCTTTCTTCACCCCTGCTCAGCATTACCAGCGAGCTGAAGTCCACGCAGTCCAGACTCACTTGCCGGCACTCAAAGCCCTGCAGGCAAATCTTCAGGAGCCTGGAAAGCACCTGCTAAGAGCCAGGACAGGCCAGGGGCACATGGCCTGCGACCTAGGTAAGACTTGGCCCTCGGCCTGGGATCTGGGGTCTGGTTGGTGCTGTGCCACAGACGGGGGAGAGGGATTAACCAGGCTACAGGCCTATCTTGGGACAGGCTGGACACAGAGGCAGATGAACACCTCACCTGTCAGCACCCAGCTTCCAACCCCAAAGACCCTCACCGAGTGAGGCGGCCAGGCAGCTCTGTGGTCTCAGTGCGACCACAGACCACCATGGAGCTCTGCCTGAGGGCTTCATAACGCGTGCTGAAAATACCATCCAGTATTCCATCACATTCCGCTCAGCGAAAATAAGCCCCACTTTGAGGAAACAACAGTACATGGCTCTGCGTTGCACTGCGGTACCTTAGTCACTCTTACCCTCCCCAAAAGCCACAGGTGAATTAATATCCCCTCATAAAGACAGAGATCTAAGAGATCTGGCAAGCAGTGGACATTTGAAACAAAATGATAAAATGTTTAACGTTCACTTTATATTGATAAATCCACGACCTCCTCTAAGGAGGATACAGACAGGGAGTTTCACACTGGGTTTGCATCTTTTCATGAGACCATTACGAAAGTAACAGTATCTGTCAAGGTCCAAAAGACTCAGTTTACACAGGAAAGAAATTAATGACTCGATTTTAAGCTGTTTCCCCTCACAGTTTATTTAACAAATTTAGGTCAGAGAACAAACACATGTTAAGGGTTCTGCTCACCTTGAAACTTTCCTCCCAAATTACCGTCTAATGCTTTCCAGAATTTCCACATCTAAAGAACAAAAGAAGTACTCTGGGCAGCTTTTAAGAAACTGAATCCAGAGGCTAGATGCAGGGCTTCCAGCCTCATAGACAGAACACTGGCTGTTCAAGCTGGGGTTATCCACTAGAGATGAGCAAGGAGCACAAAATAATTAAGAGAGTCAAATTTATCAGCCCCAGCTAAGCAAAGTTCACTGACTGCTTTTAAAATAGCTGACACCAAGGCAGTGACTTGCCTTTTTCCTTTTTTAAAGAAGCGGTATTTTCAAGCAGTAGGTCAATAAATCTCTAGTCTGGTTTCGCAACACTTCAAAATAATTTCTAATGATCTCAAAGGGTAAAATGAAGACTCCCAAGAGAAAAACAACGCAAATGAATTTTCGTGTGACAAGTCAGCTTACTCCAGGACCAGAGGATTCTCTGTTGGGGTACAGGAGACTGGTCCTGTGCACTGCTGAGCAGCATCCCTGGACTCTACCCACTAGATGCCACCAGCACCCTCCCCACCCCGAGCAGGGACATGCCTGCTGGCTGAGACCCTCTGTTTGCTCCATGAAGAACCTCCGGGAGCGCTCGAACCAACCAGTGATCGGAAACCCCACTCACTCCCAAGAGAGCTGCGAAGCCACTGTGAAAAGACATCACGTCCCCTAGCCCCTCCGAAACAAAACTCTGAGCAGATTTCCTTCACCCAGTTCCTAGGCTGCAAGCAGCATTACAAAAATACATTAGGCTTTACAATAATCAGTTAAAATATCAAGTTAGATTTTAAATATTATTTCCTAAAGCTATGACCATTTTTATTCCTTATTCTCTGTCATTCTAGATTATGAAAAATGTTTCATTTTTGGCACCAAACAGTACTAGCATTAGCAAAAAACCTAAATTTATTGATTTTATTGCAAGGGAACTGAGTCCGCTCTCGTCTCCAGTTTTCCAAATGCACCATCCTTCAGAAAAACTGGGCTTTTCCCTTCTCATCTTATTTCACCTTTCAGCAGCCACTGTGGTAACTCACACGTCCTCTTCCGCAAAGAGCAGTTTTGGGGATTCTCATGCTGCTATGCACGTTACTTCACAGGCCTGCTATGCAGCGGCGAGGGAGGCGCACGAGTCGGGTGACTCACTATCTGGGCTCCACTCACACCGGGCAGCTCTGGGAGCCACAGGAAAGGAAACAGGACAACGTCTACATTTGTTTCTTCCAAAGGAAAGAAATGAATGACTCAGTTTTAAGCTGTTTCCCCATCTTTATTTAACAGATTTAGGTAAGAGAACAAACACGTGTTAAGTGTTTTGCTCACCTTTAAACTTTCCTCCCAAAGTTTAAAGACATGAGAGGCCAGCCAGTGGAGCCAGGCTTTGCTGGAAAGCCAAGGCCACCAGGTGAGACTCAGTCCTCTTATTGCTCTTCCAGGTGCCCAGATGATGCATCAGCTGCAGCTGTGAGTGCAGCCACTGACTCCATGGGAAGGGCCTGGGACCAGCACGCAAGGCCCCACGAGCCTCAAGCCAACTCACAATGCACGTGCTGCTGGCCATTCCTGCTCTTCCAACTTTCTGCAACTAACAAACCCAAACCACCGCCTGTGCTCCTTGGGCCAATTTTCCTGTATTACAAAGGTCTGGCTCACTTGAAAGAGAACTGCCTCTCTTTCTAAACATGGATTCACTGCTAAAAACAGACTTCTGTGAGCCTTTTGGCAAGTCTTGAGGACGGTGCAGTGGAGACATGGCTTTGACCTCGCCCACACATGGCTTTGGCGTGGAGATGCGCCCGGGGACCGTGCAGCCCGCAACCTACAACAGCGCTGCCCCAGCGCTCAACCTCTCCCATGCGCTGCTCGGCACCACCCCGCTCAACCAGACGGCGGAGCTCTCGGAGCACCAGCAGTACGTGATCGGCCTTTTCCTCTCATGCCTGTACACTATCTTCCTCTTCCCCATCGGCTTTGTGGGGAACATCCTGATCCTGGTGGTGAACATCAGCTTCCGGGAGAAGATGACCATCCCCGACCTGTATTTCATCAACCTGGCTGTGGCGGACCTCATCCTGGTGGCTGACTCGCTGATTGAGGTGTTCAACCTGGACGAGCAGTACTACGACATCGCCGTCCTGTGCACCTTCATGTCTCTTTTCCTGCAGATCAACATGTACAGCAGCGTCTTCTTCCTCACCTGGATGAGCTGTGACCGCTACATCGCCCTGGCCAGGGCCATGCGCTGCAGCCTGTTCCGCACCAAGCACCAGGCCAGGCTCAGCTGCGGACTCATCTGGCTGGCCTCCGTCTCGGCCACGCTGGTGCCCTTCTCTGCCGTCCACCTGCAGCACACCGAGGAGGCTTGCTTCTGCTTTGCAGATGTCAGGGAGGTCCAGTGGCTGGAGGTCACCCTGGGGTTTATCATTCCCTTTGCCATCATCGGCCTCTGCTACTCGCTCGTTGCCCGGGTCCTCGTCACAGCTCACAAGCACCGAGGCCTGCGTCCGCGGAGGCAAAGGGCCCTGCGGATGATCTTGGCCGTGGTGCTCGTCTTCTTCATTTGCTGGCTGCCAGAGAATGTCTTCATCAGCGTCCACCTCCTGCAGCACGCACAGCCGGGGGCCGCACCCTGCGAACAGTCTTTCCGCCACGCCTACCCCCTCACTGGTCACATCGTCAACCTCGCAGCCTTCTCCAATAGCTGCCTGAACCCCCTAATCTACAGTTTTCTCGGGGAGACCTTCAGGGACAAGCTAAGGCTGTACATCGAACAGAAAACAAACTTGCCAGCACTGAACCGCTTCTGTCACGCCGCCCTGAAGGCGGTCATCCCAGATAGCACCGAGCAGTCGGACGTTAAGTTCGGCAGTGCCGTGTAGACACCTTGCAACAGACCCAGGTGTGGGGCAGACAACTGAAGCGAGGCAGGCACAAGTGACAGCTACATCCTGTTTCCAAACCTCAGGCAGACAATGTCATAGGCTCCAGGGCCTCTGTGACAGCCGCGTTCATGGCCACCCTTGGGCTGGTGAGAAAACCTCACTACAAGCCCTCCTCAACCTTGCACCGCTCACAGAGGCTCGCACCATGGCAGGTCTGCGACTCTGATATCCAGGAGCCATGGTGACCACTGTCCCTCGGCTCCTCTGCATACTCTGCTGACCAGCAAAAGACAAACAGAGGCCACTCTAGATGTAATACCTGAATGACCAGGTACACCTGCAATAAATTGCCATCTTGGGGGAAAAAAACAAAACTTGGGGACAGATATGCCCAAGTGATCTAAGCAAGAGGCAGCAGTGTGCTCTGCATGCCTGGGAGCTGGAATTCACTCTGCGCATGCTAACTGTGGCACCACAAGCAAGGAGGAAAAGAAAAAGCACGGCTCCTGCACACACTCAAGGGTTTTCATCCTCCGTGATGGCACCCACAGCACCACGGCGGCCGTGCCAACACCCATGCACACTGGGGACTTGGTCTGTGCCAGCCGGAAGACTCCACCTTAATGCAATGTCTGCCTGCCTGGTCTGAGACACCCACTGTCGTCGCTGTAGCTGTTTCCAACAGTCTTTGCACCGCACTCATGGGAATGGAGACTGTGCAAGGTGCCACCGGTAAGTGAGATGCCACAACACAATACTACGGTGAGTGTGGCTGAAGAATTAATTTCTTCTACACAAATAACTATGGGGACAATGATGCTGATGATGTAAACATTCTTCATTAAAATGCGAAAAAAGGAAGACTAATGACTGCCAGTAATGTTCTGCCGCTGCCAATAAAACAGCCACATGCTGACTCTTCTGAATGCTCTCTCTCAGTGGTCCCCAAGTGGGGTGGGATGTGGGTGGGGTAGGGCCCTCAGAAGCAGCCACTGCACCAGAACCCTTCCCTCCTCACACAGAAAACACAGCCCATGGCTTCACAAGGCCCTCGCTACCCAGGGATCTCTCTCATGTGGCTGCTATCTATGCCCAGCCAACAAGACCCAACCTGGCACCTCTAGGATGTCAAAAATGCCGTAGCCTGACACTTCTGCTGCCCAACCTTTGGGCACCAAAACAAGTTTTATTAGAAATGCAGAAGGCAGGTCTTAGCTTTGTTCAGCAGTCTGCACAAAACAGCCTTGCCTTTCTAGAAGACTCCACACTGTCCACTAAGCCAGGCACCCTGCAGCAGCCCAGGGCCCTCATGCAGCTGGAAGAGTTCCACTCCTCCTCTCACACGTGCTGCCCCTCTTCCTGCCCACCCACCTACCCCAGTAGCGGGTCATCTCACAGGGGCCCATCTCCCCAACAACACTGAGGAGCTCAGTCTTCCCAGAAATACATGCAGGGAGCCAAGCAGCGCATCCCAAGGGAGACTGAAATGTGTGGGTGACAGGAATACACCACTTGCATCTTAACAGCCTTTAAGGTTATTTTCCGTTTAAAGCTCTGGTACTGTTTTTTATTTATGATCATATAAAGTTTGATTTATAAATATATTTATGAGAAACAGTGAAACCATTTAAAGAAAATATCTGGAAGGAGAACAGGCGGTTAATGGATATGGCAAAACTACAGTAAGACTAGAAAAGTCACTCTCTTCCTTTCTCTACCGTTCTGTCAGACACGAGGCTGTGCACTGGCAGAAAGCCAGGTCTGACGGCCAGGAGGTGCCTGTTCTCTGTGCCCTTGTCATCACGGGCACACATCTCTCAGGAAGAGAGCACTGGCCCCAAGCCATGATCCTGCGGAAGGGACATCTCAGGCTCCAGCCCCAATCAGGGCTCGCCTCCTCAGTGAGCACCTTACTCCAAAGCCCGAGAACGAGACAGCCCACAGCCCAAGGCAGCTCTCACACACACGCAGGTCCAGGAAAGTGGAGTCACTATGGGGGACAAACCAGGTTCACCCGTGGCCTGTCCTGCTGGGCACCACAGGGGGCCTTCGGTCACAACCAGACCCTGAGCACCAGCTCCCTGCCCCTCCAGAGCCCGCCCTGCAAGTCACCACATCTACAGAGGTCACAGCCCCACCTACCGCCCTGCTTGTGAGAAGGGAAGGGTCCTAGGACATGCATCCCATCAGCATCCTTGGCGGCCCCTTGTGGCTCCCCTCCTCCAGGGGTACCCCACCACAGTGCACAGATATCAGACAACAGTGCCCAAGAATCCTGACAGGGTGACACTTTTACAAGATGAGTGCTTGACATTAAGTCCCCTTTTGACCTCAGGAAAAGACTCTCTGCCAGGTCCCAGAAGGGAGGCACTGGGGCCCAACCACAAGGCAGGTGTTCACCAAATGCATTCTCCCTCCTTGTGTTGTGGACAGATGCTTTATAAATATGCTGAGGTAAGAGGCCCAACATGTGTGACTCCACTCTGACAGGGCAGGGCTGGGGAGACAGACAGGAATAAGACAAAGAATGAAGTTTAGTCTCTGACCTTTAAACAATCCTATAAGGACCATAACTCCCCATTATCCAAATGAAGAAACTGATGCTAAAAGAGTTTATGACTGCTCAAAATCACAAGTGGTAAATGACGTGGCCAGGAGTTAAACCTCCTCTCCCAGCGTCAAACCCCTGTTCCTTCCCTTGCAGCACTTGGCACCTTGGTCCCTAACGGACAAAAGCACTCCATGCATTAATCACGTAGAGCCCAGGGGCCCTGGGCATCAAGAGGCATCTAAAGTTGCATGGTGCAGGTTGTTCAGGAAGGTAGAATGGAGATCTCCCCAAGAAGCTTTGGGGGGGAACTACATCTGGCCAAAGTCCCAAAACATGGCCAAGGGACGGGGGATTCATGCCTCTAAGCCAACCCACATGGAGTCCTCCTCTGCACTACCATAGAAGCAGCCTCCTTTGGTGTTCTGCTCCATCTGGGATGGCAGAACAAGCCTGCTTCCTCCTGCACACAAGACACCACCGAGAGCTTATGGAAACATCAGGCCTGCCCTATGCCTCTCCTCCTCATCACCAGGTCTTCTTCAGATGGCACCTGCCCAAGGCTCAGGTCAGACAGAGTTGGAGTACAGCCTGGCCACAAGCCCTGGAGGCAGATTTGTTGACCTGTGAACTGCAGCAGGGCTACTCATAGGGCGAGTCTGATGGACACAGATGTACACAGTGAGCCTGTGGGTGCAGGAGGGAATGCGCAAGGCTGAGGCCTCGACATGACAGAAAGAGGGCCTTACAGAGCTAGACTGTGAACCTGAGGCCTCTGGAATATCTCTGACCCTGAAATCCTGGAGCGGGAGTCAGTGTGGCAGACAGAGCCAAAGTCAGCGAGCCCGGCGGGGAATCTGACAGCCTATCACACACATGCCCTTCTCACAGTGACTGCTGAGAGCTGAGGCTAATTTCATTACTTTGGGCAGGCACACCATAAGATAAAATCAAGGCGTTTTAATTGCTTTGTTGTTTCCTGGTAACCCAGCCTTCTCCTACACTAATGCTTTTTTAAATCCCACAAAGAGCTCAAAAGTATGTAACCATAAGCATATGAAAACTCTGATGTTAGCACTGAATATGACTTCACTTTCTTTGTGCTTAATAATAAACTGTTGACTACACTGGGGTGACACAGACCTTCCCACCCCTCCCAGATCATGCACCGCATCTCAGTTAGGAATGGCAACACTGGATTTACTAAGTCTCACTACCCACACACCTTCGGGCTTTGGGGTGGGGAGAGAACCACAAACAGGTCTTCTTAGTAGGTTGTTTTCTGCAGCAGTACTCAGTGTTTTTAATTGCTACAGCTCTCTTCCCACATTTGGAACGGTCGCTCTGCATTTGTCTTCATGACGCTGACATTTTTTAAGTGCATAAGAAATGTGCTGATGCTCTTGAAGCCAGAGAACATACAGTGAGGAAAGGAGACAGAGTGGACAGGGGGAGCCCCATGGGAATGGGTCAGAACTAGAATTATGACTTAAACCCAAGGTTTCTAAAATAAGAAGTATATAAACGTGTGTGTGTACAGACACATGTATGCGCATTAGGTGTTACGTATGTATGTACACATCATGAGCATACTTACTTGTACACATGTATGGAGCGTGAGTGTATACATGGACACAGACACGCATATTCACATTTCCTCATGCATCCAGATCCAATCTCTAACACCATCACCCTCAGAAAGGCTCCAGAGCTCCAGGGAGAACTGGCCAATTCGGACCAGGAAAGTGTGGTTCTGACAGAAGGTGAGACAGGCTCCAAGATAAGTACTGGGTCCATCCAAAGGGCACAGGGGACAATGAGAAGGGCTCCCACTGGCCAAATTTAACTTGAGTATTAAGGTAAGAAGAGTAAGTACTACAAACATAAGAATCCACAAGTCCATTCCAATAATAAACAGATATAAATAAATACAACTTAGAAAAATAAACAAGTGAAACACAGTAATAGGCAGAGAAGAATGCATGCGTGAACGGGAGGCTTCTCGCCTCTAACCATGAGCAGGCTCATAAAGGAGGTGGACGGTTGTTATTTCGCAGCTTTCAAGTGAAACTGGAGCAGGCAAGAACCGTGCATGTGGCTGACTCTCAGGGACACTCAGTGACAAACACGTAGGGCAGGGCCTAACGTGTCGCCACTGATGGCTCATTCATACACGGGAATTATCACTACACAGCAGAGCCAGGACAGCCCTTCTGAGTGATCACGTTAATGTTGCCGAGAGGGGCGGGCCAGGTGCAATGCCCTGAGAGGAACACATCTCCTATATCATCATCCGGACAGACACAACCTGAGTCCAATCAGGAGGAAATATCAGATGAATTCATAGGGACAGGGAGCCAGCCTAAAAAATGTCAGCGTCATGAAGACAAATGCGGAGCAACCATTCCAAATGTGGGAAGAGAGCTGTAGCAATTAAAAACAGTATGGATC